TTGAACATCCGCCGCGTCATTGTTTTTTTCTTTCTCTTTTGACAAACTTTACGTGTATTTGTGGCTGCGCACTGGCGAAACAAAAAGTTCTTTAAAAAAAAGGAAGAGGAAGGACTATTTTTTGTTTCGACGTCTACAGCTCGTCCTTCTCCGTCTTCTCCTCCTCCTTCGTCTCCTCCGCCTCTTGAGCGGTCTCGTCCTCAGCCTCATCCTCGTCAGCCTCGTCGGCGTCTTCCTTCTCGGCCTCCTTGGCCTTGGCTTCAGCCTCCTTCTTGGCCTTCTCCTCGTCCTGGATCTGCTTCTTCTTAGCAGCCATCGCCTCCGTCTTGGCCAGAACAGCCTCCTCGTGGGCGTTGAAGTCGTCTTCGCTGTCCGTGACCAAGATATCGTCGAACAGAGTGCCGCTCTTGACCTGCCACAGCTCGAACCCAATCGCACCAACATTCTTAGCGACGTTGTGCATAGCCTCGTCCTCAAAGTAGTCCGGGTTGTCGATCAGCGGGTGCTCCCACTCGCCCTTGTAGTCTGGGTTGTCGATCATCTTGGGCTTCCACTCGCCCTTGTACTCCGGGTTCTCGATCATGGCCGGCTCCCACTCTCCGTCGTCCTCGTCGTCCCAGTCCTCGGGCTTCTCAGCGTCCGGGTCGGGGATGGTCTTGGGGATATCGTCCCAACCCTCGGGTTTCTTGTCTGCCGGGTCCGCGATCTGCTTCTCGTCCACCCAGTCCTTGGGCTTGGACTGCTTGGGGTCCTTAATCTGCTTCTCGGGCTGGAACGGCCAGCTCTTGGCCAACGAGCCTTTCTTGATGCTCTTACCGTCAATCTTGACTTCGTATGTGTCGTCCGGCTTCAGGACAAACGAGTACAAGTGCGCGTCCGTGTCTGATTCCGCGCGGATCGTGTCCTTGTGGTCCATGTTGACGGCCTCCTCGCCCGGACGCGCGTAGTTGAGGATCGCGTGCGTCTTCTTGGTGCTTCCGCAGATATCGGGGCCGAACATGACGGCGTAGGGCGAGTCGCCGCCGAAATTCGCCTGGTCCACGTCGGCAGGGAGCAGCTTAATGTAGGCACCGCCGCAGTCCAGCTTCTGCTCGTGCTGCACCAGGTACGAGAGGTACAGGTCCTTGCCCTTGTTGTCCAGAGGCTTGTCGAACTTGGCCGTCAGCGCGTAGAAACGAGCGTCCTCGCTCGTCTTGATGGCCTTGTCGTCCTCTGCCACGTAGTGCTTACCCACCACCTGCTCGAACTTGCCGACCTCGGCCGCGGGCTTCCACGTCGACGCCACCCAGCGACTCTCCCAGTCGGCGTCGTCGAACGTCTCGCGAAAGATTGTCTCGGCCTGGGCCACAGTCGCAGCCACAGCGGCCAGAGCCACCACCAGCTTGGTCAGCATCGTAAATGTATGAAGAGTGTTGGTCGGGTCGTGCTAGATAGCGCAAATTCTCGAATGCCTGAATGAAGGCCTTCAAGTCGGCGGGGTCGGATCGCCACGTGTACATCGAAGCGCACTAAGTTCGAAAGACACGTGGACTTTGGACTGTTCTAGATTGGAATAAGCAACACGTGGTTTGAATAGGGTAGAGCAGGTTATAGCATGGTACTTAGCTAAAGATAGGGGTTTGATCGCTGCAAATTATTAGATATCAAAAGCAACTATATCCTACAAGCTGCGATTTAACGACGGGCACTGTACTTGGCTATCAAAGGGGCCACGTGGCTGTTGTACACAACTTTTACACAACTTCAACCACTTGACCAACACTCTTCATCATTTGACACGGCCGCCGTTCATTTCACACTTATCGATTCTCCAGTCGTCATTTTTAACGGTTTTCGTTGAGGGGAGTCAACGTAGCGACATTGGCTGTATATATCTTTGCAAACTCCATTATTATTAGTATTGGATGAAAGATTGAGCTACGTCATTCGCGTAGAGGAGAGGTACCGTTATCATGGGAGGACAGCTTGAAGAGCTGTATGGACATGCCGAAAAGTCTGTCAAATCCTCGTCGACCTTTACTCACGACATTGAACTCTGCTTTGGCGTGTGCTACTTTAATTAACAGTAAGCTCACTGTCAATTTCGGGTTTGGAGGTGGAGCTCAAAACAGGTATCATTCACCTCGAGTGTGGTCATGGCTAATTCGCTTTTGTTTTTGTTGGTATCTTGCGTTCAAATTAAACGCTTGCATCCTACCCAATCTGCATTTAGTGCTTTCTTCCGCGCACTTTAGCGCACGAAACAGGATCTTATTTTGCATGGTGCTGCAACTATGTAAGGAGCCTTTTGAAGACTGTAAGGTGTCTTTTTCTTTGCTTTTTAAGAAATGACATCTTTTCATAGTACTAAGTTCTTACTTAGTCTAAGCTTTAATTGTCGAGATTTTTGCATACAGTACCAGAACTTGCTTTGGAGAAAGTGCAAACTTTGTTGTATGTCGACTGCATGATGCAGCAGTATGCACTTTACTGTAAAATTAAAAATAAAAAACTAATACATGTAGCTCTAAGAGAAGCATACTACTATTATGCAAAATACTACGAGATGTGTTGTCCTGTGCTCGATGCGCTATACTATACTTTAGTAATTTTGATACATAGGTACATGAAGTCTAAGAAGCAGTAGTACTACTAATAGTAGCAGTTACTGGAATGTAGTAGTAGAAGGAGAAAAAGGAGGATTTCTTTTTGAACAAGATGCACGAGAGCCACATATATAACCTGTGCATACGCTAAGCACTCTGCCGCAATACACGTTAGGTTTATCAATTCTCCGTCACCCCAAGTCTACTACGAGCAGTTCTCGCTCGTCTTAGAAGTTGATAGGCTTGTCGAACGCCGCCAGACACGCCTCCTTGAAGGCCTCGCTCAGCGTCGGGTGGGCGTGGCACGTGCGCGCCAGGTCTTCACTAGCAGCGCCGTACTCAATGCCGATCACTCCCTCCGCGATCATCTCGCCAGCGTTGCCAGCAATGATGTGCACTCCCAGCAGCTTGTCCGTCTTCTTGTCGGCCAGCACCTTCACCAAGCCGTCCGCCTCAGCGATAGTACGAGCACGCGAGTTGGCCATCATAGGAAACTTTCCCACATTGTACTCGATTCCCTCGGCCTTGAGCTCCTCCTCCGTCTTGCCCACCGATGCGAACTCGGGGAACGTGTAGATGACACCAGGGATGGCGCCATAGTTGACGTGGCCGTGCTTGCCGGCAATGTTCTCCACACAGGCGATGCCTTCCTCCTCGGCCTTGTGAGCCAGCATGGCGCCCTTGATCACATCGCCGATAGCGAAGATACCGGGCACCTGCGTACGGAAGGCGTCGTCCACCTCAATGCGGCCGAGTTTGTCCGTCTGGATGCCCATTTGCTCCAATCCGAGACCCGACGTGAACGCGCGACGGCCAGTGGCCACCAGAACAGTGTCGCACTCAATAGAAGACGCGTCGCCGCCCTTCGAGGGCTCCGTCGTGAGCTTCACCACGTCTCCGTTCACTTCAGACGCCGTCACCTTGGTGTTGAACTGGAAATCCAGTCCCTGCTTCTTCAGCAGCTTGGTGAACTCCTTGACAGCCTCCTTGTCCGAACCGGGGCAAGCAGCGTCCAGGAACTCCACGACCGTCACCTTTCGCGCCAAGACGCTTGTACACAGAGCCGAGTTCCAGGCCGATGACACCGGCACCGACCACCACAAGGTGCTCCGGGACGCGCTTAAGCTCCAGCGCACCCGTAGAGTCGATGATCTTACCGGCGGCGTTGTCCACAGGCACGGGGGGGAGCGGCGTCACCTCGGAGCCCGTGGCAATGATGATGTTCTTGGCCTTCACCGTCTCGTTGCCCTTGTTGTCGTTCAGAGCGACCGAGATCTCGCCCTGAGCCGAAATCTTACCGTGTCCCTTAATGTATGTCACCTTGTTCTTCTTGAACAGCAACTCAATGCCGCCAGTCAGAGTCTTAACGGCTTTTTCCTTCGACTTCATCATTTGCGGGAAATTGGCCTTAACTTCGGGAGCGTCAATGCCGTAGCTCTTGAAGTCGTGCTGAGCCGTGTGCAGCAGGTGCGTCGAGTGCAGAAGCGCCTTGGACGGGATGCAGCCCACGTTGAGGCACGTGCCGCCCAGTTTGCCGCGGGATTCGATACACGCAGTCTTCATGCCCAACTGTGCGGCCTTAATAGCGGCCACGTAGCCACCCGGACCGCCACCGATCACCACGACATCGTAGTCGGAAGAGGAGGATAAGGCGCGCGCAGTCACAGACGAGCGCAGCGCCACGGAGCGGCGCGAAAGCGAAGCTACGTTGCGCAACATTAAAACGGTGATCTGGTGTCGGGGGGAGCGAGATCAGAAGTGTTTTTGTTGCTTGGATGGTAGAACGTTGCCGTACTTAGCACAGAAATAGGATGTGATTGGATAAAACTTAAACGAGTTGATGCGTCGAATGTGATTGGATGCACGAGTATCGGTGTGGTACAGTGTACCTCTCACAACGAGAGCAAAAAATTGAGGCCATCGATCATTCATGGATATTATTAGTGTAATTATAATTTCTAGCCCTAATAAATGTTTGTTTGCTCTTACTAAGAGCAAACAAAAATTTAAGAGCCTCTTAGGCCCCGAGATGGAAATTTCAAGATATTAATACTTATCAAAAAATACTGGATACTATCCAGCCAGGACACCTGTGGGACCTAAAGAGTGAAGCAAATGAATATGCTAATGTGGGCCAGGGTAAAAATGTACTTATTTTACTCGGCTAATCTACCACAGGTCAGCTATGCGCACAACACTATTCCAGACTAATAGGGGGTTTCAAAATTAACGCTTTTAATATTAATTTTAGCTCCATACGGTAAAAAAATCCGAGCCATTTTACCGGGTACCACTGTACTTTGCCAATCCAAAATCCATCACCTCTAGAGGTGATGGACATCAAAATGTCCTAGGTATTTTGGTATCGACTCGATGCCATCGAGACGAATGGCCAGGGAAGGATCAGCAGCAGGAAGTCGATACCTTGCCTTTCTACGAGGGAGGCCCTGCTGTCGGCGCCAGCTTTACCAGCCTTTCCTGTTCAAAGTGCTCGACCCTCGGGTCAGCGTATTTGTATGCAACGCAGTCGCGGATTCCAACGCAAAAGGGGAAGTGAGATTCGGTCTTACTCTTTCTATCCTTCCTATCTTTACTGTCTTCCGCTTGGAGCTCTCACAGCCTCACGTTTTCCACTTCATATGTACCACGCTCCAGATACAAACATCCGGCAGTGGCAGCTGCTCGTCGCTCTCTCGTTCAGAGTGATCCCGCGCATGCGCATCATCTTGCAACACTCCTCCTCGTAAGCACTGCATTATGCCGGTGTGCTATTGATTCTCAGTATATCATCTTCAGTGCAATCCAAAAGGAATCGGGTTCACACAAAGCCTGGCCGACATGTGTGTCTACTACTACAGACGACACAGCCCCGAGGTGTGGGTAGTCGGTGTATATGTTGATGATATACCTTTGATCTAAACGGCATAGGAGGCCGTGAACGCATTCTTTGCGGAACTTGCTGACTTGTCTGTCAAGAACCTTGGAGAGACCAGGAAGGTTCTCGGGATGAGAGTCGTGTATAATGAGTCGCATGGGTACGACATCTATCAAGAAGTCACAATCACAGAGATGTTGCATGATTTCGGTATGGATATGGTGCGCGGAGCGCGCATGCCGATTGGGCAGAAGTGGAGTGATGAATGCGACTCCAAACTTGAAAAGCTGCCAGTCTCCGATGAAACCGCGGTTGTGACGTGAAACAGTTTCAGTCGTTGGAAGGCAAACTGAGAGAAAACCCGCAGGCAAACACCATGCACCTGGACATATTTATAATGGTCCGGTGCATCCTCTCAGCCTTCTCGTTGCTCGCTGGATTGTGCGCCTCGCTGCGCTGTCGTGCGACCCCAGTTTTCTTGCAAAACAATTCTAGATGTTTGTACTCACCTCCGGAATCCGTGCGTAAGACGTAAATTCGGCAATCGAACCATTTCTCGAAGTAAACGAGGGACTCTTCGAGCTTTCTTGCCGCTCCATCTTTTGTCTTGGTGAGAAACACGCCACAATAGTTCGACTTGTGGTCGACAAAGTTTATCATATATATGTTACCCAGCCGGTCTTTTGGGGCATGGGTCTTTTAAGATCGGAGCAGATCACGCCTCCCACACGATCTGTTGGAGCATGCTCACTAGCGTCCTTGATCGATTGTCTGTTCTTCATCTGCTTGCCCTCGGCGCAAGTCAAGCAGCTCACTTTTCATCAATCGGTCAGCTCGATGCCGGAGGTTGGATCGCGTGCCAACCGCTCCACTACATCATAGTTCAGATACCCGAGATACCAGAAAACATGCCATGATCACGTCCGACGTGAGCTCACACTTCTTCTTGACCGTTCCACTTACAATCAGCATGTTCC